TAGCTGGGGCCGGCGAGCCAGTGCGCCCTGGCGGCCAGGCCCTGGAGGGCAGAGACAATCGCGGGCGGTCCTGCGCAGATTCCCAGGCCAGGGCTGGGTCACAGGAAGGAAACAACATTTTCTTGAAAGGGGAAACGTCTCTCAGATCACTCCCTGGGCTTTGAGGCCAAAGCAGTGTGACCTGTGTGCCCCTAACGGGCCAAAGCCACAGCCTGAATTCTCTGCCAGGTGGACCCCTGTACATACATCCTTTTCTGCTTCCCCTTGACTCCTTCCCTCCCACTCTGAGACAAACAAGAAAATACTCAAACAAACTGTATAAGCTTCACTTGTTGATGAGTTCGTTATTTTTATTTTTAAACTCTTCCTGGGTCCAGTCAATTGTATGTTGCCACAGAAGCCCTACTATGGGAAAGAATAAATCCAATAAACTGAGGTTGGCGCTTTGCAGTTCTTTTTGGAAATGTTCTTGGATCCCACAGCCCTAGCAGGAGAGCTGGGGGTGGGGGTTCTTGGCTGCTCTTGGTTTCCAGGACCCAGCAGGCTGGTTGGTGTGGCTGGGTTGGTGGTCAGTGCCTGCACAGACGGGAGTCCCGCTGGGGCCCTGGCCTTCTGTTCTGCTGTGGCTGTGTGGACCCTTCCAAGGTACAGCTGTACATAAATGTGTCCTGAGCTTAGATTCTCTGTGCAGTGGTGGTGGGTGCAGTGGCCGGCGAGGGGGTCCCCCAGCCGAGGAAGGCAATTGTGCTGATTTCGTTGTCCAAGTGCAATAGGGGCCCGCCGGTCGCTGCAGGGAGCACAACAGCTGGAAGTAACTTATTTTGTACTCGTATCGGCGTAAGAAGAAGAATCAGCAGTATTTTCTGTTTTTATGTTTTATTTGGCTTGTTTTATTTTTGATTAGTGAACTAAGTTATTGTTAATTATGTACAACATTTATATATTGTCTGTAAAAATTGTATGCTATCCTATTCCTTTAAAGTGAATACTGTTAAGAATAATAAAATACTTTTTGTGAACGTTCTGCCCTGTCTTGTGGGTCCCCGGGGCACTGTCTTGCAGGTGTGGATCTGAGCCGTGTGGCCTGAGCTCTTTGGGGCAACTGAGGGCCCGGGCTCCTAGATCTCAGTCTGACTGGGATTCTGACATCCTGATTGTCTCTCCCTGCATTGCTTGTGTTTGAGTTTCCTTTGACACGGAACCAGGGTCCCTGTGGCGGGCAAGCCTCTAGCCTTTGGTCCTTTTTGAGAGCTTGACAAGTTTTCTTGCAGAATCCAAGGACGAACCCGAGTCTTCACCCTTGTTCACTTCCTTGCAGGTGCTGATGTGCTCTGATTTCTGGTCACCACAACTCATTCATTGACAAATCTGATCAACATCTTTGATCACTGAGGTCATTGATTGCTGTCATCTTTTGATCAATGATGTTGGTCATCAGTGAAAGCCACCATATCTGATGTTCCTAATCAATGACATATCTGATCGCCAGAGCCCACCACCGGACATCTCATGGCTAACAACCGATCACCAACAGGCAGTCGCCAATATTCCACCAATGCCTCCGATTGGTGATACATCAGGCACTGACATTTACAGAACATGGTCACCAGTGTCTCCAGTGGCTCTCTCCTCACCGATGGCTCAGCCTGTCACTAATGTCCTGTGCCAATAGCATGATCACCAGTGTCCCTGACCAATGTTCCTTTCCTTTCCTTCTCTTTTTTTTGAGATTCAGGTCTCACTGTGATGCCCAGCTGCTCTCAGACTCCTTGGTTTCAGTGATCACCCTGACTCAGTTTTCCAAGTAGCTTGGAGGGACTATAGGTGTGTGCCACTAGACCAGATGATTAGTGTTTTGTTGTTTTATTTTGTGGCACTGTGGACTGAACCCAAGGTCTTTGTATTGCACTACAACCCCAGCATTTTTTTTTTTTTTTTTTTTTTTTTTTT